TTGAAATTTGGCTTTTTTCAGAATGATGCATGTGCCTTTTTATTTTCTAGTTTCTTTTATGCACGCAGACTTTTTCTTCTTTTTGGGGATCCGTAGGGGATTTCCTTTTCGTGGCCCACTTGGGGGTTTATTGACCTTCCTTTGTCATGGCCTTTTCTTTTTTGGGCATTCGCTGGGGATGAAGGGTTTTCTTTTTGGTGATCCACCAGGGAATTAGCTGACTTCCTGGGGGTCCGATTTTTCTTTTATGGGGATGGAGTCTTGGCTCCTTGATTAATGTTGATGCGTCCTTGTGAAACTCTTATTCTGCTGAGGGATGAGAATTTCTGATTCCTTCTTTTTGTAGATTTTTCTGGGAAGATCCACTTGGGAATTTTTATTCGGCCTTCTCTGTTGCGACCCTTTCTTTTGGACATCTGCTGGGGATGCAAGGGTTTTCTTTCTTTTTTCTCTTTTTGCTGAGCCCTTAATGGTATGGAGATTGGACTCTTTTGACTATTGATGATGATGGGCTCTTGAAGCCTTTACTCTCCATTGGGGAGTGTGGAAGAGACTTTGGGTGAGTGTGCTTGATGACTCATGTGATGGCGGTGTTGAGCCATGGGGTAATTTTTTATGTTGCCTCTGGAATAGGCAAGGATCCGCTTGGGATGATCGAGCCTTTCCGTCGGCTTTTCTGTTGATGATACCCTCTTTTTATTAGGTAGAAGGATGACAGTTGGAACTCTTATTCTGCTGAGTTGCTTGATTGATGACTTGCTTTGTTTTCTTGAGGGGAGATTTATTCAGAGACGTAGCCTAGGTGCTTCCCGTTTTCAATCACAAACATGGAGCTAGTCTCCTCATATGCATGAATGCTTTTCGTTTTTTGTTATTTATCTGAAGTTCGTTTTGTGCAACTACTTGTGCGTGGATGCCCTAAATGCAATCTATTCTTTTTGATCGATGCATCTGGAAGAGTGACTGATATTCTCCTGCTGGACTTTTTATGATTATGATGAAGGACCCCTCTCTTTTATTTATTTTTTGGTTTAGCCCTATCTTTTGCCTAGACCGCCCTTTTAGGGTTTTTGGTCTAGTGGTTACCTTAATTTTTCCTAGGATATTTTAGCGGGTTTTTTTTTTTTTATGAATGCCCTAATTTTTGCCTAGAGCGCCCTTTGCAAGTTTTTGATATAGCGGGCTACCCTAACTTTTTCCTAAGAATCTCCTAGCAGACATTATTTTTTATTTTTATTTTTTCTCTTTTCTCTTTTCTTTTTGAGAGAAAGGACCCTTTGCATGTATGCAATGTTCGTGATATGCATTCTATAATACTATTTCAATTAATTTTTCAAAAAGATTAACCGATGTGCTTTTACTTCTGATGAACTTCTGACGTTATGTACTTTCGTCGACATGATAGGCTATACCGATTTTTCCGTCTCGATTTTTCCATGACCGAAGAATGATTGTGTTGATTGTAGAGCGACTTGCCATGTTAGTGCGCCCTTCCCTTTTCTTGGGATGTCAATCCTCCTATTAATTACTATCTCCACATTTTCCTACTACTTACTAGAATGCCGTAATGGTAAGGATCAAGAGAAAAGAAGGAAGATAATATTTAATTCAAAAGCTTGTGTTTTAGAAGTGTTTTATTTTGACAAAAAATGGTTTTTGTAAGCACAACTAGCCAAGGTTGGTTAGAGTGTCTAGGCTAATTTAAACAAACGTTTTGTCTATGGAGTAACGTCTTATTCTATGGCGCTTGCTATGGCTGATTGACTTCCCTGGTCCCCCCTTTGGGTTTTCAGTCTAGGATGTTGTGTTTTGTTTTGTCCTAATTTTTGTCTAGGTTTCTTTTTTCTTGTTTTGGGAAACCTAACAGACATTATTTTGTAACCCTATTTTTTTCCTAGGCTACCCTTTATTGTTGTTCGGGTTTCCTAGCAGATTTACCCTAACTTTTGCGTAGCCCCCTTTGGTGGGTTTCCTACCAGGTATCTTGCCCTCTCTTTTTGGCTTTTGGCTTCTATGGGCTTCTTTTGATTTTCTTTTCTCTTTGCACAACATTGACGAAACACGACTTTATTACGATGAGGTGGAACCTTATTTTGTGTTTCTAGTCAATCAGTGATGATGAATTTGACTTTTATTTTGGTTAATGGCGTAGTTTGATTGCTTTGACACGTTTTGAAAACGTTTGCTTATACCTGGTTATTAATAAGGTTTAGATATGAATAGCAAGAAGAGAAACAGATAGTAAGAATGACATTCTTTGTAATTAATAGGGAAATATGTGCCCTACAATGCTAGGGGGTTGGGCTAGTCTCGAGGAGTAATCTCTAATAGTCATTGGATTTACAAACCCTAAGAATCAGAAGGAGAACACCTAATGACTAAAATCGCTTTTGACGCTTGAACCCCCTTATTTGCGAAAATCTGATTCAAGGTGTGAAGGGGAGACTTCCCTTTTCTCCGTGCAGCTTGATCCTTTGTAGGGTCATGCTTCAAAGGATTGTCTTTAAAATTTGGTGGCTCCCTTATTCCTTGAGAGTTTTTAATGAGCCCTTGGTTTGGGCAGTATCCATATTTCCTCATCATGTGGGTCACCTTCATATTATTGGGGAAGTTTTTTCATATTGGCAAAAGATATTTCAAAGGTCCTCTTCAGTCGCATCTGTTCAAGGTAGGGCAGACGACTTGCTGATCCGAACACCGTCTTTAGCTCGAACGATGACCAGCTTGTCGCCTACTTTGAGTTTGTCTTTTTGGCAGAGTGTTGAAAGAACTGTCTTAGCATCGTGAATCCAAAGTCTACTCAATTTTCTCTTTGAATTATGTTTTTCTTCGGTTTTATTATTTTTTCCTTTATTCTTAGGAGCATAATCTTATAGCTCCTTCGGGGAATAGATTCTTCCACTTCTAATCCTGCCCCCAATGCCGACTATGCTGGAGATATCCTCATTGATGGATAATGTTTTTGTGTATCTCCATGTTACAACTTTATTCGATTCGAGGCGTGAACAAATGTAATGACATCCTTGTTCCCTTTTCCTTATTAATGTGGATACCTAACGATTAAGGCTTATTATCCTCCTTAGGCTGATCAATCGTTGGAGAGAACTTGACGATGAAAGGTTTGCTCTTCATCTTATTCCGATTCATCGGAAGCACATCAATTAATCCTTTCTTTTTATTATCTTATTATTATTAAAGCGAGGATGAATGCAATTAATTAATGCAATAGATGATTGAAGAGATGATGAAAACAAACACTTTTATTTCTTTCATCCAGAAGGTGTACATTCCTCAATGCAATACTTCGAAGCACATTTTTAAAAGCGGAAAGCCTAAAGGAACCCATAGGCGAGTTAAAATTTCTATGTATTTCCTTTTTTGACTTCCCGTGCATGACATGCAAATGCCCTATCCTCTTTACATGGTATTGAGGAATGTCCACTTTCTTCAACTGCCTACTACTAGATGCATGTTATGAGGATGAAGTTTGGTGGATGCATGTATGCAAGTATTTGTTTTTTTCCTAAACATTATCATGTTTTATTTCCTAACATGATGTATGATAGTGTTTGGGATTTTTATCACTGTTCACCCATTGGAGGGCATGCGGGTATCCAACGAACGTATGGCCGTCTTTCCGAGAATTTCTATTGGAAAGGCATGAAAATAGATGTTATGCAATTTGTCTCATCTTGCCTAACTTGCCAACAGTAGCGGATCTTGACCATTGATCTTGGGGGGCCAAATAATATATTATTAATAAATAATAAATAAATATAAAAGGAAGAAAAAAATGAAAGGGTGAAAATATAAAATTATAGATATATACTTAAATATATTAAATGATCATTAAATTTGAGGAAAACAAGATCATAAATTATATGAGAGTTACAAAACCGAGGAGGGACTGAGAGGATAAAATTGTAAATATACAAATAAATATATTAAATGTTCATTATGCTTGGAGGGGCCAAAATCATAAATTACATGGGAGTTAGACAACTTTGGGGGGCCACGGTCCCTCTCGGCTCCCAAGAAGATCCTCCACTACATGCCAGCATACTAAGACTCCTACACACCTTCGCTATGGGTTGCTTCAGCCCCTACCGATCCCCACAAGTGTATGGGAGGATGTCTCCATGGATTTTATCATTGGGTTCCCTTCATTCCAAGGCCATACGGTTATCTTCGTCATTGTTGATCATTTCTCTAAGGTGGCGCACTTTGGCATGCTCCCTACTTCCTTTACTGCAGTTAGAGTGGCTGGTCTTCTTGTAATGCTGGTTTGTAAACTACATGGCATGCCTCGTAGCATTGTTTCTGACCGAGACTCAATTTTTATGAGCCATTTCTGGCAGGAGCTCCTTAAACTCAGTGGTACTAAACTACGAATGACTACAGCTTACCACCCTCAGAGTGACGATCAAATGAAAATTGTTAATAAGATGTTGCAACAGTATTTACGAGCCTTCGTTCATGGCGAAACCAAAAGTTGGGAGCATTTTCTACCTTGGGCTGAGTTTCATTACAACAATGTTATTCACTCTTCAACAGGTTTGAGTCCTTTCTCTGTTGTTTATGGCAAGCAACCCCATCTATTCCTCAATACATAGCTGGGAGTTCACGCATTGAGGCCGTTGATTCCGAGTTGACTGATCGAGACTGCATTTTATCCAAGCTCAAGACTCAACTAGAGCGCGCGCAGGAACGCCAAAAGTATTACTCAGATCAGCATCGCATTGACCATCCCTTCAAGGTGGGTGATCTTGTTATGGTTAAGCCCCGACCTTATCGTCAGTTTTATGTGAAAGGCTCTCGCAATAAAAAAACTAGCTCAACGTTTTTATGGTCCTTTCCAAATTATCAAACGCGTGCAAGATGTTGCCTTTGAATTGAAGCTGCCTGTTGGGTCCAAAATACACCCTGTTTTTCACGTCTCCAAACTCAAACCTTTTGTTGGGGGCGTGGATGATGTTCCACTGAATCTTCCACCTACAGCCATGGGAAACCAGCCCCATATAGAACCTATTGCTATTCTAGATGTTCATGACCAAGAGACAACAGCAGAGACACGAGTTCTCGTGTAATGGAAGGGCATGTACCCCGAGGACTCCACTTGAGAGTTGCTTTCTGAGTTTTCAGTAGTATATCCCAACTTCCACCTTGAGGACAAGGTGTCTTTCCAATAGAGAAGGGATGTGATAGAAGAGGATGAACCCAATGAGGAAAATGAAGACTTGCGTGATGATGAGTATGGGAGCCCATTACGTCAGCAGACTAGAGCTATGAGAAATCAGGTCAAGCTCAAGTGGATGAAGGATTTTGTGATGTAATAGTTTAGGGTAGAATAGAATTTTTACATGTTGATTCTAGAAGAATGACAGATGACTCATGAGTGGTTATCTAGCCGTACGAATAGGGAATTTGTTAGAAGGATCCTTTAAGTAATGTGATGAACTTTTGACAAATGCACCAATGGTTAAACGGAATAAAATATCTTCCTCTCATATTGAATTTGTTGAATACTAGATTCTTAATGTACATAAGTTTAAGCAATTGAAATTTGGATAAAATAGCAAACATAGAATTATAATAAGAACTTTAGTCAAAACAAGAATTGTTAGAGAATTGATTTCATATCCTTTCCTATATAATTCCAGTATTTTTAATTGTTGCAAGAAATGTAATTATCCACTTGAGTTTACCTAGAGTTGTTTTACCCCTAATCCCTTAGTAGGCAAAACTATTCATTGAATCTGAACCCCCAATCCCTTAGGTCAGTTACGCCATTTAATAGAATCATGAAAAAACAATAATCTTCTCTATTGCAAACTAATTAGATATATGCCCAATTTCCCAATTGTGACAAACCCTAACCTGTTATATTTAGGATCGCGAAAAACCTCCAATCTCCCAATTATGAAACTGCTCGTGGAATGAACTTGAAAATTATAAATAGAACACTGAGATAAAGAACATTAAATAAACATCAATTGTCAAGAACAAGAAAATATAATTCAGAGTACTACATCAATCTTCTAACAATAGGGAAATCAGTTCTACATAATACAAAAATTGTCAAAAGATAATAACTAGAACGTAACAAATGGAGAATGGTTGCCCCATCCCCCATTTTTCAGTTTCGTTCCACCTTCTTTATAGGGTGTCCCACGTTTTTTCTCCACTTGTTGAGGTAGTTACCACTTCTCATAACCGTCTTGAATTTTCACAGGTTGTGGAAAAATCCACAATCAACCGTGGAGCTTTCTGATCTTTATCTTTACATTCTGGTATCAAATCCAAAGGTTATGGAACATTTCACAAGGTACTTGTGGAACTTGCTGATCTGAAATCTTTCTATCTTAACACCAACTCCCTTCAAACTATGAATTCAAACTTCCAAACGCCTATTTACAAGAACAATGCACAACCCAACATGTATAATCCAAAATAACGATAATGCATGATGAAATCATTCCCATAATGCAACAACATATGAAATTAACCTAAATTAATGCATGAATAAAATGATATTTTATCCACTCATCATATTGTTGCATGACCCTTTTTTTAGGGATATAGAGAATTAATGAACCTTCTATTCCCTTCTATTCTTTGTTTCCTTTCTTAACTTTTCTGGAGGTACTTCCCTCGAAGTAAGTTTATTACAGAACACCAACAATCAACAAGATACCCCACATACAATTTTTCAATCAAATATATGCCTTAAGTAAGAAAACTTTGTGATAGTAGAAGTTGTTATCTTTATAATCCTATATGATTATCATACTAAACATATATATAAATTACACATGTATATTAAAATGTCCAAAAGACGACATACATTAACCACATGGTGCTAACCTAAATGCATTCTCGTGCCAAACTATACAATTTATTTTTTAATTTAAAGTGCTTGGGACCTCCGTATATTTCTGTGCCAAAATCTACAAAATTTAAACAATCTTAATAACTATCTATTAATAAATATATAATTAGGTTTGTTTCCAATCAAGTCAACTCTTACAAATTGAGTATATGTCAAATTGCGTAATATACTGCATAACATAAAACAGTAAAAAGATAAACAATCTTAATAACTATCTATTAATAAATATATAATTAGGTTTGTTCCCAATCAAGTCAACTCTTACAAATTGAGTATATGTCAAATTGCGTAATATACTGCATAACATAAATATAAACAGTAAAAAGATAAAGTCTTACGGTTGGTTCTAATCTTATGAAACAAAAACAATAAAAAAAATCAATATTGATAGGTAAAAATAATAAAGAGTATTACTGCATTAAGCTATTCTACCTCACCAACTTTGTTAACTATTAGGACATTCTCTAAACTACAACAAAAACGACATTAAAAACGAAAATAGAACAACCAAAACAGAGTACAAAATGAATTTAGAACAGAAAAACTATCCTATTAGTGTTGTCCAAGAAGAGGAACAAGGATATGAAATGCAAAACTATCTTATTAGACTTAAATCTGGCTGTCTCTGTATACAAATGTTTATTGAAAATGGTCCCCATTTTAATGTCATTCTGACGACACTCAAATAGAAGGGAAACAATTTAGGGTTAGGTTTTAAGAATTGATTTGATTGGAAATAGAAAACAGAAAAAATAAAGGATACCGTAGGCGCCACAAATAAGAATATTTGATAAGCCAAGAAGGATCGCCACAAGAATTGGATAATTCTTGATAAGATCAAGTGATGCAAGGAAGAACCCTAGCAGAGCAACAACTCACAAAGTGATTCTCGAATATTTCGATACGTTCATTCTAAATTTCCAAATGTTTAATACAACTTAAGTTTATGAGTTTGTCTCATTGTAGGAAATAAAGATAAATTAAAATCCTAATATCCAAAGCAAAGTTAAGTTGCTCGGATGGTTCAGATGAATACATTATAAGCTTCGGGTCTTGGGTTCAAATCCCCATTGTAGCAAATAAAATAATAATAATAATAATAAAAACTAAATCTTTTAGTTGGACCTGCATGTGATAGGTCTAGACTCCTTCATGTTTGGATCTTTTAATAGTTGGGCCTTTAGCAAATTGGTCACTTTGTATTGCAATGCCTCTTGTGTTTTTCTGGCTTGCCTCTTGTCATAGGTCCACCTAAGTCTTGGATTGGATCTTGGTCTTGATCCTTCTCGTTATGGGCTTGGGCCTTTATGTCTACATCATTCCCTCCTTCTTGGGCAGCATTTGTCCTCAAATCTATGAATTCATCTCCTGCAACATTAAAAGAAGAACTTACATTATACTCTCCTAGTAGATCAATCTTATAAGCATTATCATTGATCTTCTCTAAGACTTGGAATGACCCATCTCCTCTAGGTTGAAGTTTAGACTTTCTTTGTTCAGGAAACATTTCCTTTCTCATGTGTACCCAAACCCAATCACCAGGTTGGAACACCACCTTTTTCCTACCCTTGTTAGCTTGCCTCGCGTAGCTCTCATTCTTCTTTTCAATTTGAGCTTTTACTTGCTCATGCAGCTTCTTCACATATTCTGCTTTAGCCTGTGCTTCCTTATGCTTAAACATAGAAATGTTAGGCAAAGACAATAAATCAAGAGGAGTCAAAGGATTAAATCCATACACAATCTCAAATGGTGAACAATTAGTGGTGCTATGGATAACCCTATTATAAGCAAACTCAACATGCGCTAAACATGCTTCCCAAGTCTTAAGATTTTTCTTTAAAATAGTCCTAAGCAATGTGCCTAAAGTTCTGTTGACTACCTCAGTTTGACCATCAGTTTGTGGGTGACAAGTAGTAGAAAACAATAATTTAGTATCAATCTTACCCCACAAGGTCCTCCAAAAGTGACTAAGGAATTTTGAATCCCTATCACTCACAATGCTCCTCGGCAGCCCATGTAGCCTTACTACTTCCTTGAAAAACAAATCAGCCACATGACAAGCATCATCTACCTTCTTGCAAGGTATGAAATGTGCCATCTTAGAAAACCTATCAACAACAACAAACACAGAATCCTTTCCATTCTTTGTTTTAGGCAGCCCTAAAATAAAGTCCATAGAAATGTCAGTCCAAGGATATTCAGGAACAGGTAAAGGAGTATACAACCCATGAGGCTTAACCTTAGATTTAGCCTTTTTACACACAATGCAGTGATCACAAAACTTATTCACATCACGTTTCATATGAGGCCAAAAGAAATGCTCTTGCGAAATTTCTAAAGTCTTTTGAACCCCAAAATGACCCATCAAACCCCCTTCATGTGATTCACTCACAAGCAACTCTCTAATGGAACACTTAGGCACACACAATTTATTTGCTTTAAACAAGAATCCATTATGCCTAAAGTAACCATTTTTAGAAAACCTTTCACATGCAGCAAAAGTTTCAGCAAAATTCACATCATTCACATACATGTCTTTTAAAGATTCAAGACCAAACAATTTAGTTTCAAGCATAGAAAGTAATGCATGTCTCCTAGAAAGTGCATCAGCTACTACATTCCCTTTTCCCTTTTTATGCTTGATGACATATGGAAATTTCTCCAAGAACTCAACCCATTTGACATGCCTCTTATTTAACTTACCTTGTCCCTTTAAGTATTTCAAAGATTCATGATCACTATGAATTACAAACTCTTTTGGTAAAAGGTAATGCTGCCAAGTTTGTAAAGCACGCACTAAGGCATACAATTCCTTATCATAGGTGGGATAATTTAGGGCACCCCCATTCAACTTCTCACTAAAATAAGCAATTGGATGACCTTCTTGTAGCAAAACATCCCCAATACCCACATTAGATGCATCACATTCATTTTCAAAAGATTTTGCAAAATTTGGTAATGCAAGAATGGGGGCATTAGATAGTTTGTGCTTAAGTTCAGAAAATGCCTTTTCTTGTTTTTCACCCCATTTAAACCCAACATGCTTTTTGACTATTTCATTAAGAGGTGCAGCCAAAGTACTAAAGTCTTTAACAAACCTCCTATAGAAACTAGCTAACCCACGAAAGCTTCTCACTTCACTCACATTCTTAGGGGTAGGCCACTCTTGGATGGCTCTAATCTTTTCCTCATCAACTTGTACCCCTTTAGAACTCACAACAAATCCCAAGAACACAACATGATCAGTGCAAAAGGTACATTTTTCAAGATTAGCAAACAATTTTTCCTTTCTAAGCACATTCATGACAACACGCAAATGTTCAACATGCAAATCAAAATTAGTGCTATATATCAGAATATCATCAAAATACACCACTACACATTTGCCTAAAAACTCTTTCAAAACATGGTTTATCAATCTCATAAAAGTGATTGGAGCATTAG